GTCATGACTGCCGATCACCATGATCGGGAACTTTGGGAACGTTTATTATTTCAAGCCCTGCATGTAAGAAACAAATTTACAATTACATGTATCGAAAGGGCTTACACATGCAGTTACAGTAGATCAATAGGACTTATGACGCTTCACAGCACACCATGCATATTTTGCATTTTCAGTGTTAATCCTAAACTCATTGTTAGAAAGTGATCACCGTGGTGGTTTTTGTAATTATTAGTATTGTTTGCATCAACGTTTTGTCGTTATTGGAAAATGTGTGGCTTATAAGTTGTCACTATTTTTTCTTGCATTATTTCAATATAGTTTGTAAATCTCAGAAGCGAAGGGTAGAACTTGCCAATAGGCAATACTCCAATAATATACGTTTTAACTGAAAGACATAATTAAAAGCTTTTAGTTTTGCAGAGTTACATTCTCAAATGTTTAAGGCACTAATAAAATCAAAGTATCATGAAATTATTTGAATAAACCACACCACATATATAATGCAATTTTCTTTGCGGAAGTCAAGAATCAAGATTACATCACTAACACTGACATGGAAAGTTGATGATTCAACGGACAATAGTCAATACGCTTCCCAACACATTCCATAGATATTTTATTAATTAATCCTATAGTTTATTGTTAGCAAGTGATTACTGTGGCGGCTATTGTTAACACTGGTATTGATAAAATTTGCAAGCGATTGTTGTTATAATATGGAATGTAAACTGTCAGAATACGACAACATGATTTTATGCGATCTCTGTTGGCAATGGTTCCACTTTAGATGTGTAGAATATGACACTAGTCTAAATATACCTCAAATGAGTGGTTATATGCAGACTGTCCACACCCCCAGCTGCTAAGAAGCCTAAAATGTGTATGTGATTTTGTCTCCTTGTAATAAATAAATAAATCACACAATAAGTCTTTTCAACTTGCAATCGTTTTGTTTTTAGATCAAAAATTCAAAATTTATATGGGGGGGGGGCGAAATTCCTAAAGGGGGGCGATATTCCTAGGAGATGGCCTTGCTTTTCCCGGAAGGGCGGGCGAATCTCCTGGGGGGGGGGGATCTCCTGTGACACCGGACCTAAAGTACAGTGATGTCGTGATTGTCGAGTCCTTGGCCGGAGTGGTTGTTTGTGCGAAGATCACCATCTACCAGAGATGTTTTTCCCGAATGCGAAGTTATACTCACTTGCTCCCCCAAAGCACAATAGGGGATAGTCTCTCCGTAAATAACAATAGTCTTTTAATTCGAATGTATAGGACTGAGTCGATTTACAAACAGCTTTATTCTAGCTACGCGCACAACTGATTGATGCAAATACTGATATACATGTTTTAGTTGTCTTGTTAAACATTTACTGATCTAGTAAACCAATGTAATTCAGATCTGTTTACAAGAGTTTAATTGGTGTTTGTGATGTTATCACAACCATATAGAAACAAGCATAAAAAGCATGCACGACAATTATACAACAAAGAAAGACGAATAATAGAAAATATATACCACAAAATAGTATTAATAGAAATTTATTTTGTTTAAAAATAGAAAAAATCTACAAACATGATTGCAAGAGATATAAATAAAATACTATTTTTAGAAAACATTTTCTGAAAAATGATTCAAAAAGAGGCTTTCCATTATCTAATTAGGACAAGATCCTGGACGATCCACAAGTTTCTGGCCTTGACAACAGATCTTCTTACTACGATTGATGTATCGCTTTCCGCAGCACTTATGGTTGATAGTTTTCCTTTTGTGAACTTGACCACAGCAGCAAATTTGACTGGTCGGTTCATAAACCCTTTCACCACAAAACTCCCCTAAAATGAAGGCAAAGACAGTGATGAGACATCAATGGCAATAGAACCGGTGTATGATATACCCTATACACGGAGGGGCAGTTTGGCTAAACCACGGTAACACGTCGCTATGCATGTAGCCCCATTCGGCGGGCATGATGGCGTTTCCTTAGCGCATTTACTAGGAGCATGGCAGACAATTACGCTAACATCAATGCCACAGAGTTACACGATGCAGACGATCGACTTTGCCAAAAACCCGAGATCGCCATCCCGCCAACTCTTAATCACAAACATTCGTTATGTTTCCAATCAATGCACGTGCTCTAGCCACCCCACCGGGCTTCATCACCCACCCACCCATGGATCGACGTTTTCAATGGGGCTAGAAATGTGGCGAGTGTTTGGCGAAATATAGCACAGCGGTTACACCAACACCAAAGTCAGACATTAGTATTTATTCTGTGTCAAAAGAATCGCGGACCTTTGTATATCTCGGCCGATACTCAGATTTTACTGAAAGACTCAGAGAATGACATTCAAGTCGCTGTACACTTCACATACCTGTCACAATGATATTCACATGGCATTCTAACTGTTGCTTCCCGGTTTTAGGGGTGTACTTGTACGTAAGCGTGTGCTCACCAACAGAAAACCATCGACTGGTACTTCGCATATTTTCACTGGAATTGGTCAGGCAACTGGGTTTAGGTTCCGACCAACTAACAAAGGCTTTCGTTTCACCTGGTTTAACTTGAGCGCTCTTTTTTACGGTATTGCTGGGACAATTGCAAGCTAAATAAAAATAAAAATTTAAAGTTGACACACAGAACTATCGGGCCTTGTTGCATTATTTAATCAATTTGTAATAATCCACAGACTGTCAACAGACATTTAATTTAAACCGTATATTTAATACCAAAACTGAACAAAATGAGTTAGATAACTTAGATATACAAATTAAAGCACAATACAAGCCATCACAACAGAAATATGTGCCGTGAATGACTTTCAAAGACTATAACGGTGATGTTATGATTTTGTCGTGCTTAAATTTTGCAATAATTCTCACTAAAATATCTTGAAAATCATCGTAAGCCTGTTTATATAAAGCATACAAAGCATATACATGGCCAGGGACAGCAAAACTCGAAGTTTGAACTTCGTGACCGAATGACATAAAACTGACATGTCAACTCTAGCATTTTCGTCCTTGGTCGCGTAATTTTGAAAACGGGTGTAAGGGCCGGACCATTAACTAATCAGATGCGTTTGACATTTCCAAATAGCCAATGAGATGCGTACTAAACCAGTGACAAGGTAGTGCTAGCGGTTGTGGAAGTCAAGTCCGAACCTCTATAATTATTATATATAATCTTGCACTTCGAATATGTTATATCCCTGCAGATTATACCACAATTCTTCGTGATTGATTATCCATTACTAGTTTTAAAAGAGATTATCAGCTTATGCATCAGTGTAAACTAACTTGCTAATTAATGCAACATTAGAAATCAGACTAAAAGATTTACTTACGGGGACAAACTTTACACACGATCTCGCTCACAACAGTTACAAGGTTGGCAAAATCGATCATTTTCACATCTTTAGGGCTAGATGCAATATCTTGCAGCTCTTGCAATATTTCTCGATTCTTTTCATCGTTTTGCAGATCATGTACTGCGCCAATGGCGATGATGCGAACTCCCTTGTTTTTCAGCTTCTGGGCGTTTTTTCTTGTTTTGTCAGGGTAATTGGATTTACCATCTGTCAACACGATCAGCAGATCTGGAACGTCGGGACGGTCACCACCTTTTTTCGTGAAAACCTGGTATTTAAGGTTAACGTTACTGTACATCACATGATAGACGTGTATTTTAACCAAATTAGGAAAGGGAAAATCTAAAATCTAAGGTGGTCCTAAGTTGAAAACAGTGTAGTTGTGACGTAATTACCGGAAAAGTCCATTGGAGACAAAACAATGTGCCGCCAAGAAGTGCACATCGAATGGATTACACCATTGGAATGGGTACATCGTTATACATAGATCCTCACCTTTTGAGCGACAATATCCAATGCGAGGTGTGTTAAGGTCCTCCGGCCAGCGTGCCAAGGCATGTTTTCAAATTTTTTGCTGATTGTTGTAGCATCGTAATTATTATCAAGATTGAACCTTATACCAGTATTCTTCCTATCACTAAATTGCATGAAACCAATGTGTGTCATATCGCGGCTGATGTTCAAGGATGATACCAATTGGCTTAAAAATTCTCGAACTTTTTGTATAGGCTCATATGTCCAATGCTGGATGAGTCATCAACGACAAGGAATAAGTCCAACTTTCCACCACATGGACATGTTACTAAAGAATAAAAATATTCTCACAATTAGACTAGACGAGCAAAATAAATTTCGAAAAAGATATCAGTTTTAAAACATTTTTCGTATCTTAATTTTTACTTAACAAATATAATAAATTTTCCGTGTTGCTATACGTTAAATGAACAAGTGGGTAAAGTGGTAAACTCCAAATTGTGTGGAAACGCGACGCGCGGAGGGTATGCAAGTGTTTTCACACAATTTCTAGTTTTCCCAATTTCCACTTGTGTTCATATAACTGTATATAAATACGGAAAAACTTTTAAAATTTTTTTATGATATAGCACAAAGAAATATAAAGAAAGAAATTTTCTGTGTGGACCGCATTGAATTATGTCAACACGTACGGCTCTTAGCCAATCAGCATTCAGAATTTACAAATGCTATCCGCGCAAGTTAATTCGTTTGCCAAATATGATGAGTATACAGAGAAGGTTTAAGAAAAAACGTAATCTTGTATATCAAATCACTCAGTTTATAAATATTCTTATTACACTATAATATTTTTGCCATAAGTTCTTTAGGTGCAATGTTACATAATGGTTTCCGTCTTTTTCAACAATACCTCTCGTACGTCATGCCTGTCTTATGTTAAACAACAAACTAATTAACTTATCTTTTTTTTGAAATTCAAAATATTTACAAAATAATTACCAAGTTTCTACGTCCGCTCTATTAATTGTTTAAATTAACTCCATATTATTTTCTCTAAATTAATTAAAGATCAGGGTCAACTATTTTTTACTATCTCTATTTTTTACTATCTCTATTTTTTACTATCTCTCTTTACCTTTGGTTTCTTTGGGTTTTCGCACTGCTATAGCACAGCGGCATTAATGCATTATAGAAATTTCATAACAATTGAGTAAGGGAATCGTCCCTTGCTCAATTCATATAAAAACAATGGAAATCTAATTACATAGTTACAAGTACCAAATAATTATATCATTGTCTAATTAGTATTAACTCATCAAAACGATGCACTGGTGAGAATGTTAGGTATGACCAATTCAGAGTTGCAGTATAACCGAGATCGGGTGTACGAGATGAACGAACATTTAACAACATTTGTATCAGACCTTCATTTTCTTCGACCGCCTGATCGCAGGTTGTGTTTCAAATAAAGTTTAATTTTTAAATGATACTTTTTCAAGACTTCTTCAGGCTCTTCTATAGCTGTAACGTATTTTATATGCCAAACTCAAATTCTACATGATGTATTTCGAAATTACCTTGACTTGTTTGGCTGTTCACAGAAATGACCAGGAGAAAGATAATCGCAATGATATTCTTCATAATGGGTCTATAAAATAAAATATACCGTATATGAATAAAAAATTCGATCAGCTAAAGCTGAGGCATAATTACAACATAATATATAAATACTAGATTTAATAAACTTAAAAGCATCAATAGATACACTTTGTGATTTTGTGTAGCGACTCACTTTCTATTTCTTAAGTAAAAAATAAAAAAGCTCATTAACTCTGATCGTAAATATATAAAGTTACAACGTTGATCAATTGCTCTGCTTCTTATCAATAAAATTCTTACCTTTTTAATTTTCTCGCTCTGGAATTTTCGTATTGGGATTTTCGTACTGAGTTTCAGTTCTAACTAGTTTGGCAAGTGAGCACTGGTATTGGTCTATTTATATGCAACGGCCACAGCAGGGGGAAAGGAAGATGATGGACTAAGACGTGATGCTTCAAAGGAACTAGTAGAAATTAGCAGACGGACTTGTTGCTGAAGGATGAATACAGAATTCCCAAGCATGAGAATCTGCACGGCCCAAAAAGGAGTGGTCTAGCGCACAGAGTTTTGTGTATTTCTCCGGAAGCAATTACATGGTCAATCCCATTACAATTGCAAGGCAAAGCTGTCATCAATTAGGTTCTATTCGTATAACTGTGTAATGTGTATATTGGCTTTTATTTTTATATTATTTATGAAAACATCACTAGTATTATCAAGTGCAGTAGCATATCGCCGTTGCGTTAATGTGCAGATTTTCCAGCACATTGGCTTTTGGGCGATACATTTTACCCAAATTTATATATTTTGTGCATTAATTATGTTTCATACTCTACAACCAGAAGATTTATCATGCTTGCGATACTTATTAGGAGTAGCCATGTGACAAACGCACAATATAACCTTGGAACTAAGTTCACAAGCTCAGCACAGTTAAAGCATGAGAAAACTAATGTCTGAATCACAAAATATTTAAAATTATGATGCCAAGAACACAGTAATTTGTAAAAATTGCGCAATTAATAATAAAATGCCTGGGTTACGTATTTTCAACTTTATTAATTAATCTTAAAACAGCATTTGTTGCTACTTATATTTTCATGCATTCTTCAGGCAAATGCATTCTTTTTAGTTCATGGTTAAGTGTTTGTTGACCGACTCACCAACAGTTTACTGACGCACGTGTTAGTTGAGGTGGGGCACGCTTAAGGCAGCTTGCGCGTGCGTCTTCTCGCGTGCTTCTGACCTGTTTCGCATCGATCACAGCACTTCCTACTGCCTTAACTGCATAGACAAACTCCGTATACCTGGAAAATCCTCATATGCCGCACGACGTATTTAATGATTCGTTCTGAGACTGATCTTGGGCATTTGCCCTAACCTTTTAACCTGAGCTTGTCTTTTTCCTGGCTTATATACTAATCATACCAAAGACTCGATCAAACAATGTGCCCAAGATGAGAGCTGACTGCTCGCATGCATTGTTACGAGATACATTTATAGCTCTCGATTAACAAAATAGAGATTTGAAGATTGTTCCAACTTTGTTTTTTAACTTAAATAAAATATTACATGAATTGATAGTGTTATAGGAAATATCATGAAGAACAGCTAACGAAGGTCGCGTGACCTTTCATGTATGCACTTCAGTCGGATTCGATTGAGAAGGCAATCAACATTCATCTTGACATTCATCTTAGCATCCCAATCAAGGGTTTCCGCTTTTGATATAAATAATTCAAAAACGATACGTACAGAAAATGCGACTCATAGTTCCGCTTCAGCAACACGTCATAGCGTATCATTTTCCGCTTTAATTTTCCCCTACTGTTCCTGCTTTGTAAATCTGACAAAAATGGCCACGCTTTATATAACGAAACTTGATATAAGCTCATGCGCATTTTTTGATAACTCAACATGTCTTGGCAAATAATTTAATTTAATTTGGAATAGAGTTATTTGAAGAGGTACCAAAAGAGATCATAAATATTGCACAGTTATTTATGTTTGTAATAATCGGTATTTACCTTACTGGTATTAAAATTCCTGTCGTATTCATTTTCGGCGATCAGCTTTCAGAAATTCGCGCGATTTAATATCGCGCACCTTGTTGAGACTTAATTATTCGCGCAGCTTTAAATTCGTGCAAGAAATTTTCCGTGTCTGTATTCATTTTTGTTTGTTTAATTAATAGAGCTATTAACAATGAACGCATTTATAATGAGTATTTTTTATCTTCAATATTTGTCAAAACTTAATCAAAAAGCGATTAGGCCTCAAGAAATTGTTTCAAAATAGTATGTAATGTAAGCAAAATTCATGATAGCAATAAAACGTGCGATCAAAATACCAACAAGAACTGAAAAATTTTATTGTATGGTCCTCATTTGCCTAATACAGAAGCATAATGCAAATCAATGAATAAATCACTGATTTGCCTACTAACAACGAGTTTCTCATATTACACACCACAAAGCTTTTCGCGTTCGATTATATTTCGATCTATACTAAAATTTGCGTACCCAAGTCAGCGCGAATGATAGACAATAAAATGTTCGAGGGAATTGTAGTTTTACGTTCCTTCGTTACGTGTATAACACGAAATCAAGATTCCAAATTAAGAATTCAGCACGTGAATTACGTGTTGAAACTGGAAACTATTACAATGAAACTAAAAGATTTTTATCCAGTTTTTATCGTATGTGTCCCGTTATTTTGTTACGTTGTCCTCAGCGAAGGAGAAGAAAACAAGAAAAATACACTGAAAAGAGCATTTCGATCAGAAAATTTTTCAGGAAAGACAAAGGAAAAATGAATACCACTTATTGATAAAAGAGTTAAAGCTATATGACCGGTCATATGACCGGTCGTGCTGTGTACTTCAGGTGAGACATCATATTCAGCTGAGTACACAGCACCCGAAGACAGAAAAAAACTTTTGTATATTGCACAGAAAATTTGAAGAGCTTTTGGTAGGTCTCCAATTCTTGTAAATTCTCCCTAGAATTCTCCAAGAAAACTCTTGAATTATCCTCCATTTTGTAAATTTTATACAAATCAGGTATGATTTAATTTTTTTAACTATATATAAGATAATACGCCATTTTGATTGGTCGCCAGGTTTAATCCGCGGGACCGGACCAAAAAAAGTTGAAAATATTTCAACTTTTTATTATCCGGCCAGCAACGTCGCCGGATCAGAATCAACAACTTCTATCCTGTTGGGGCATGCGCGGATTTTGTCTTGTTATCCGCTGCTTATTTTCCCGCTGGAAATTAGCCTTTTTAGGCGGAAAACTACGCTATTCAAATTTGTCCTTAATTTATCAATCTGTTACTTCTGCTTATATCTTTATATAAAACTATACGTGTCATTTTTAAACCAATGTTTCGTTTGTCTTATTTCTTCCGTTTTAACGATCAAACAATTTACACTTCAAATTCAATGCTGTAACACCTGCATGTATTTAGGCAGAACATGCATGCAGACATTCACACACACTCGAATCTTCAAACATGTCAAGGTATTTCGGCTCTGATCGACTAACTGAGTGGCAATCCTATTTGCCTATAAAATCCTACTTTTATTTTAGACAATTCTATATAGGCCTACGAGCAGCTAACTAGACCTGTCATCCGGCAGATTCATCCAATTCGAATTTCGAAAATCGATATCCAATCCTTTTAAAGAAAGACGGGTGTAAAGTGACCATGTCAAGTCCATAATGTAAACAAATCTTTGTTTACATTTTGAACTGATATATTTGTAAAATAAGACATGCTAACGTAACTGAATATCGATCTAACACTTTTCTGGTTCGCAATTGCAAATGAATATAAACTAGAGTACGTTTCAATTCAAAAAAGTTCGAAAGATGCAAAATTTGGGCAATGTTTATATCTGTGGCCCATTGGTATGAGTAGAACTGATGCGCAGAACGGGCTTGACATGGCTTTAACAATAATTAAAAGACTCATTAATAATTCATGAGAAAACACAAAGAAAAATCTAGGCGTGTCGTATCTGTATATGTGCTACAGATTAATGTTGATTTACATAAACTTTAACTTTGATTTTCTCGGCTTAGACAACGTTTATTTTTAAAATTACTTCGCCAATGAACTCATAAGATAAATCGTTTTTAAGTACTATTTACAACATTCGCGTCCGTGTTGTATCGGATATACGAACTCTCGCATTCGGCTGGAGTTTGTATATCCGATACAACACTGCAGCTCATGTTGTAAATAGTACTAATATATCCGATCTTATCATTTAACACTTTTCTAATATTAAAATTTTCCGCTTGTCATTGTATCATTTAACACGCTAATTATTACATATACCATAGTGTTAGTTCCATTTCGTCAAAAATTGATCAATTAATTAAACTATTTATTTCCATACCATATCCATAGTATATATGGAAATTGCAAGCATTAAATTTGGATTTTCAACTAAGATCCATATTATTTCCATAGTAAGAATTTGGAAAAAAAAATTCAGTATATCCTAAAATAAAAAAAAACGTGACCGTCAGTTTTTAAACAAATATTCGACATGATATCCTTTCCTAAGACAACCTACTTATTGCTCGTACTTGACCTTACCTTAATATAATAATATCCGATCTTAACCTTTACTTCATGACTTTTCCAACTTTAACAGAGTTTCCGCTTGCATTTGCATCATGTAACACGCTAACAATAACACATGACGTAACTATCTTTGGACTTTTCAGTAACTTCCTAATCAAGTTGGCTGGTCAGATCCATTAGATATATAGGACTAGATAAAAAAACAACAATTTGTGGGACCAATAAACTCGCATAACCCAACGACAAATTGATTAAATTTTTGTTAAAATTTGGATGCAGCAAATTGGAAGAGCGATTATAGCAAATTAAAGTCCGTCTTACTTTGCCGACTTACCGGCTATCCTTTTAATTACGCATTCAATTTTCCATGGTATAAATATTTGTGCATGACCAACTTGATTCGCTTGCGAAGGTATAGGGCCATAGGCAGCCTCCGAGCGCCCTATCGGTATAACTAACTTTTGCCGTTGGAACTATGTAGTATATATCTTATATATATATATCTTGTTATTTTCAAATTTAAAATGTAGTATATAAAACAGATGAAATATCATTGCGGTATATTTCGTCTCGTCTATACTCAATAAATTTTCATATGTCAATGTTTGAATCTACCATTTCTAAAATTATTTGCTGGGCTATAATATTTTTAAAGGTGAATCTAGGCTAAAAGGCGGAATGACATTGCAAAATTGCATGCGGAATGAATGCGGAATGGACTATAGGATTAATTGGGGTTAATTAATAAAAAATGCGTCGTAATTTGTCATTCAGCACGGTGGTCATCTCATTGATCTCCAAACTAAGGACTGCATGGATAAATCATCTGCTGTTGTGACCACCGCAAATGTAGAATAGTGTTGCTGACATGTTGGAAAAGGTTCTTAAATATTCCGCAGATATTAGTTGTCGGTGGCTTCTCTAAGTTCTTTTTCTTCTGAAACTTACCAGTAAATAATGAGGTCACACCAAAGGTGTGGTTTATAAACTGACGGATGAAATTTTTGGTACTTTATATAGTCTTTACCAAATGATCGCTTAATCAATAAGGGATATGAACGTTTAATGCATGCAGTGCTTAATAATAATAAGTTCGGCTGTAGACTCGTATAATAGTTATATGCAAATAACACTTACATGCATACACAAAACTCTTTTATACGTATGCCAAAAGTGGAAAATTTGCATCGCAATGATCGCATGCAGTCTTGTATTAGAAAGGACTCAATGCTTTCCTCAAAATCCTGCGAGTCAGTAGACAACTGTTCAGAAGACCTATAATTGCTTCTTCGTTCTTCACTGAGAAACTGGAAGAGCTATGCGATTTATTTTGGTATACCTCGAAGGTTATATTTTTGCTTGCTTGCACTCGTAATAAAAATTTCACGCATGCATGACATATCTTCTGGTCGTGTTTCAGATGTACTCGGTTGGCCGTGAAAAGTTGTGAACTTATTAATATATAAAACGAGAATATATTGTGAAAAACAACAACATTTCGTAAAAACAGTCCGTTATGCATGATCTCTTCTTATATGCCTTAATTAGAAATTGGCTATTGTGATAAAAATCTTGATTTAATTAAGCTTACAGACGTCATGAATTACTGAACTTTGTTTATAATTTTCGCACCAGTTAAAAATAAAAGAATAAAAAAGACTGTAATTGCAAAGGTCTGTTTTGAGGTCTCTTGTATGACGAGGGAGCAAACGATACTTCCCGGCATAACACTGTATTAGAGAGGTTCACATTTTACTTCCACCACATGCTATCTAGCTCCTACCGGCTTAAATATAATTTGATTTCATGGTTGATATACCGTAGTTCTCTATTAAAGGCACTATGGGTCAAGGTAATTTTCATATTGGTCCCATACTCATTTTTACATTTTCTAACTTGACCTTGCCTTTTGTCATCGCTTAATTACTTCTTAAAAAAGCTTCTGTATAAACATCACGTCTCCACACTCTTTAGCTAGTTCCGTTACAGCAACAAATCAATGAATCATCTGAGCCTATCAATCAAAAGCATACAACTTCCTATAATCATTCCGGACCTAAAGTACTTTACAGTGATGTCGTGATTGTCGAGTCCTTGGCCGGAGTGGTTGTTTGTGCGAAGATCACCATGTACCAGAGATGTTTTTCCCGAATGCGAATTGTTATACTCACTTGCTCCCCCAAAGCACAACAGGGGATAGTCTCTCCGTAAATAACAAATTCTAATGTATAGGACTGAGTCGATTTATAAACAGCTTTATTCTAGCTACGCGCACAACTGATTGACGCAAATACTGATATACATTTTTTAGTTGTCTTGTTAAACATTTATCTAGTAAACCAATGTAATTCAGATCGGTTTACAAGAGTTAAATTGGTGTTTGTGACGTTATCACCGCGTAGCTCAGTTGGCAGAGCCGATTGGGCTAGTGTTCCAAAGTTCGTAGGTTCGATTCCCACCGTGGCCGGGCATATCTTTCAAGCTCGCCCGGTGTGGATATTCACTCAGAGTAACATCACAAACATAATATTCATGCACCTGAGTACACAACACCAACACAGAAAAAAAACATATTACTAGATTAGGCCTACATTGGTATCGAAGGAACTAGATTCTGTTCCGAAATATCATTTACTCGAACCGACCTGACCGCGTAGCTCAGTTGCATGGCAGAGCATTGCATGGGCTAGTATTCCAAAAGGTCGTAGGTTCGATCCCCACCGTGGCCGGGCATATTTTTCAAGCTCGTCCGGTGTGGATATACACTCAGAGTAACATCACAAACATCATATTCACCTGAGTACACAACACCAACCCAAAAAAAGTTTAATTGGTATTTAAATATTAACAAAAACCGTGCAGTATATATATATCGTAAAAATTTAGGTCAAATTTATTACCCACAAGGCCGATATATGGCCACAATGTATATTAAATTAAGCCGATGATCAGTTTCATGTTTGTTCTTGTCTATAAAGGCGATTTTGCCTGAATTTTAATATAAAACAGCTAAAAAGCGGATGCTAATCTCACATATACATCTGCATGCAAATAGAGCCAAATTGATGACAGCTTTGCCTAGAAATTTTAATGGGATTGGTCATATAATTGCTTCCGGAGAAACTCACAAATTTTGTGCGTTGACCGCTCCTTTTTCGGCCGTGCAGATCCTCATGCTTGAGATCGAAAATACTCTATCCGTACGTGCTTCAGCTACAAAATGCACGTCCATCTACAAAATTTCTACTAGTTCCTCTCCAGCATCACGTCATAGACATAGTCGGTCATCTTCCTTTCTCGTTGCATATAAATAGACCAGTTGCAGTGTTCTCTTCTCAAATTAAAACTGAAACTCAGTCTATACACTGTACATTTTTTCGTCCCAATACGAAAATTACAGAGCAAGGAAAAGGTAAGAATTTCATACATCTTAAGATAAATTGTATAGTAATTTACAGTGATAATTTGTAGGGTAATAGGTGGACAATGTATATTTGTATATTTTCTAATTTCTTCCCTTTGTTACTCATTTTTCACAAAGTGCATTTAGTTTAATATGCTTTTAATTTAAACTTATAGAAAAGCTAGTTTTATTGCATGGCATCTATCATTTCACTCTGCAGGCCACGCTATATCCTTGTCAGCCGGAATGCGCCAGCGCTAGCTGTGCAATGGCAAGGAAATGATACCAAAATAATAGGAGTGAATACGGTGAAGGGAAAGCGTTTAAGACAAGAGGCCGTGGGCTGTTGGCCAAAATTATTTCGCTTCGTGGCACCCATGTAGGAAATACTTGATTTGGGGTTTATTTGAAAGGCATATAGGTACATCACTACCAAAAAAAGTTCCCAAGCAAAAAAGTTGCACAATCCCGAGAAAATGGGTGATCAATGATTATCCTCTATTAAATTGTATTACAGCAAAAAAATGTGTAATTCTGTATTCAATTACAATAAAAATAACTTGCATCATCGGAAAACGTAGAAAAACCCGCATATAAGACTTTTAAGCAGTTTTTTGATTTTTCAAATAGTCTTTGAGTTATTGCTGTTTTAAATGTGAAAATTGGACCAAAAACGCGTTTTTGACAGCGTATAACTCGAAAACAATTTTAAATATAAAAAACTGTTTAAATGTCTTATATATAGGTTTTTGTAAGCTTTCTGATAATGCAAGTCATTTTTGTTGTAATTGAATACAAAATTTTACATTTTGCCGCCGTAATACAATTTAATAGAGGATAATCACTGATCACCCATTTTCTCGGTATTGGGCAAGTTTTTTGCTTGGGAACTTTTTGTGATAATTAAGCATCTATGGTACTATGAATTGAACCACAGAAAATCTATTTCCCAGGAGGGTGTCACGAAATCGCTTTTCTGGGCACTTTTTCGCACAACAGCCCACGGCCTAAAGGCAACGGCTGAAACTATATAAAGTAGGGAATGCCAAGATGAAGTCCTATATTGAGTGTATACGCTCTTGTAATTTTCTTTACAGTTTTTGCTAGAGCTTCTGAAGACAAGTTAGTTTTTCTTAAATGCGGAAATTTTATCACACGGAGATTCTAGCAGATGTTGTAATTTTTCTGCCTCATCCGGTTTAACTCTAAGTACTGTTTAATAAACGAGCAGGAGTGTTTTATTAGGTTTAAAGACACGAGCGCGCAGCGCGAGTGGCTTTAGACCTAATAAAAGACGACTTGCGAGTTTATTAAACGGCTTCAAACACGACTATACAAATTCAATAGATATACCGCCTTATTAGTATTCTTTATATAAAAAATAGTAAAGAGGACACGACAACGATAGATACTGCCTTATTAGTATTCTTTATATAAAGAATACTAATTAGGAGTGTTTTATCAGGTTTAAAGCCACTGCACGTGACATATTACAGTTGACATGATTTGCCAATAAGCTCATGAATTATTAATGAGTGTTTGAACTTTGTTTTATACATTTAGATGTTTTATGGACCCATTATGAAGAATCTTTTGGTGATTACCATTCTCCTGTTTGTTTCTGTAAACAGCCGACCAGTCAGTAAAGGTAATTTAGAAATACATTACGTGGACTTCACGAAAAATATTACAACTAGTTACAGAAAATATTATGTACCTCAACTTTAAGTTGAATGGCATTTGTAACGCTGTGATTTTTTACGGTAATCCACCATAAATCATAATCCATAATTTCTTAATGTTCTCCATAATATCTCGTTCCTCTCGTTCCAAATGGCGTCCCCGAGGTTTTGTTCTTATATGTTTTATTCGTAAAGATTTCTTGCTTTAACTAAAGATTTTCACGTGAATATTAGGAGACATATGTTATACTTTTAATGATCCAAGGCCGACATGGGTTCAAATACTTTAATTATAAGGAAAACGTCAAAAACCCAGGTATAACTTACTGAATAGATAGAAAGGTAAACAATTCGTATTCGCTTTGTTATTCACCAAGTATTCACAATATTCTCCTTTGTTATTCACCATATTCTCATGACATCGTGGGTTCTTTAATTAACTTTCCTATAACATACCCTCCACTCGGGGATCAGGGGAAATATTACGGTCAGTGATATCGGATATTTCATTACAAATAGGGTGGTATTTCGCAGATTTCACCCTCACTCCGGATATATAAATAAATAGTACTATACTTAGCAATTATATAAATTTACCTGAAACATAATTAAAAGGCCATTTTCCATTGCAGTCGCTTTCCCCGCGCGAGTGGAGCGACCAATCTTAAGGCAATTTTCCATTGCAGTCGCTTTGCCCACGTGGGTGGGGCGACATTACTCAACTTTCTCTGTAGTCACTGTCTAACCTGTGCATTTTTTGTCCGCCTGAATGCTCGCGGACACGCCATGAAAGTAGAACTACATCCAACTTTCTTGGCGTGACCGGGCGACTGACTTTTCACGTGACTGCAATGGAAAATGGCCTTTAATCACGTGAAAAATCAGTCGCGCGGGCACGCTAAGAAAGTTGAATGTAGTTCTACTTTCATGGCGTGTCCTCGAGCAGTCATGCAGGCGGACAAAAAATGCACATGGGATAGACAACTACAGAGAAAGTTGGGTAATATTCGATCCATCCGCTCGGGCAAAGCGACTGCAATGGAAATAACTTGCGATCAGGCGAGCGGGCGAAGCTAGAATAATGAAGGCCTGACACAAATGTTGCTAGAAGTGAAGTTCGTGTCATGTTATTTCAAGCATCAAGCCATATATATTTAGTACATCGTTTTAATTAGTAATGTTATACAGATAGGATGAATTGCAAACGTAATTGGCTGATTTGTGGTCACGTGGCTTTAGATAAATGCAATGTCAATCCCGCCGGGTAACAAGCCATGCATGACCAGTTACTCAGACACTATTCATGTGAATAAACAAAAAGGCGGCAGAACACGCAATTTTATAAACTACGATTTTCCAAGTTAGCGTTAATTTAAAATAAAGAATATAAAAGAGAATTCAAATACAAAACAGAAATCAGGATATGCTCCTGAAACCCTTTGAGTACAGGAGTTCTTTTAATTTTAAACTCGTTTACACTCGTCAACAATTACTTGTATAAGAATGTTGTTGATTTTCTTTTGTCGCAAAATAACAAAACACTTTGAGACACTCGGGAAACAAAACTAACTCTTTTCAATTCCTTGGGAGCAAATGTTAGATTTACAATATATTTAGAAGTTGTAACTATAATTAAATTGTTGTTTTTATATGAAATTGAGCAGTAAACGCAATACACCCTTTCGATAATTACGTCACACATATTTTTAGTCCTGGAGCCCCGCTCTCATTAGTAAGTTACCCAAGATGATTGGCTCACGGTTCATGAGAGCGAGGCTCACAGGCCAAATGACGTAATTATCGAAAGGGTGTATTGAATAATGCCAGTCCATAGTCTATGAAGATATGATGCAGGTCTGGAAATTAATTGTGTTGTTGTTGTTTGAATTTCATTATGTTAATTTGTACACGGTCCCAGTGTTTAAGCCCATTGTATCTTCGTATAATAAAGTAACCGCCCAATATAGGAATAGTTGAGATGAAACGTGTAACCATGCACGATGAATAATATTTAATGAAGATGAGACAAAGGAATGGTGCATGGTGAAGTACAGCTCAACATCAAACAAAGGCTTTCTATTTAACTTTGACGTTTGCAGGGCTCACAGACCATAAATCATAATATCTAATTCACAGATTATGACCAGTCTATAACTATATATACTATCAAAACTCATCACGACTTTTTAGAGAAGCGAAAGAAAATATATACTTGAACCTGTGTGCTCCTTAATATAGATTGATATAAAAACAATTCATGGATCGAACCTAGAAACCTCATCAATTTGTAACATGTCCATGCATGTAATTTCAGATTGCCGCAAAGATATCCTCGTTCTTTTGGACAGTTCCATAAGTATAGGTGAAACAAATTTTGAATCCATACGGGAATTCCTAATAGACCTCGTCAAAAAGCTGAAAGTCGGTCCAGACGGTGTACATCTTGGTCTGATAACGTTTTCAAGTAAGGAGAAAACTGAGACATTGTTGGATGTTGCGGAGAAACAAAATCAAACAGAATTGATAAAGTGGCTGAGAGAGCTGGATTATACAAAACTGATGGGCGGTACCACCAGAACGGACCTTGCGTTTAAAATCGCAAACGAAGTAAGTCATTAATAAATACGAAAAACAGTTAATAAGTTAATTCATGCACAAACATTTCAGACTGTTTTAGCAATTACAGATGATACAGAATTTTCAATTGAAGTTTATAGTGATTGTTTATAAGAACAAATGTACATGATATATTTCAGGCATTGAAAGTTCTATATATAGTGAAAGCAAGTATAATCTTTCGCTTGGGTTTAATTTATCATTTTGTAAACGAAAAAAAAATGTGTTACCATCGTTACCACTAACTTTCCCACAGAAACCAAAATTCTTGTAAAGAAGGATATTAACACAAATAAAAGTTTCGGCAGCATATTTTTTTATCCGGCAGCTAATGGCGATACCGGATCTGAATCAAAACCTATACCATGGAAATTTCTGAAAATTTATGTGCGAACAGCATCGAGTATCGACCAATGGCTATCGGCTTGCTGTCATTGGCAACGATACTAACCAATCTTTTGCAAGATATTCTATAGTGGCAATCGCTGTTTTTTAGACATAAACTGAATTCAAGTCCTCTGATTCTGTCCCTTTTTTGTGGCATGCAGCAGTCGGAAAAATTGAAATTTGTCTCATTCCCAAAATTAATTGTCTATATACCAATGTGCATGGTATTAATGAAGTTTTTCCTTGCCTGACATTGAGAGCAGCTAGCTACTTTTAATTCCAACCAATATCATATTGATATTTGATAACTTATCCTTCTGATTGGTTTATCCACGGCCATAAATCAATTTAACCAAACATTTGACGAGGTAATAAAATAATAAACTTGTCTTTAATTGAAGATGTTTAGTCAAAAAAGTCCTTTAAATTATCGTAATGATGTGGAAGACGTTATTTTATTGTTCACCGACGGACATCCAACAACTCGAAAACTGTTTAAACCCGAAGACCTAGGACCTCTCCTACAACTGGTCAGTGGTAATTCAACAGAACTAAAGGAAAAGGATGTTACAATTATCGGCGTGGTTGCTGGACAACAAGAAGTGAGACGAAACTTCGCTCACTTCATTAAAAACTGGACAACGTCGGTATTTGAAACAGATTGGAACAATGCATTGGAGAGCCTCGCAAATACTATCGTGGATCCTTTGTGTGGCAACCCTACCAGTAAGTATACTTGTTTATGATTGAAAGGAATGAATGCGACGATAACTGAAAAACTACGTAACATTTTTAGGTAGTTGAAATACCGACATGCATGTACTAACTCGCGCCGTTTCTAACCAAGTAATATTTCCTATACCTTATCTTGAGTATCTATTTATTAGACACCCCAAGCACGATTCCTCCAAGTACAACGATTTCTCCAAGTACAACGATTTCTCCAAGTACAACGATTTCTCCAAGTACAACGATTCCTCCAAGTAGAACCATTCCTCTAAGCACAACGATTCCTCCAAGTACAACCATTCCTCCAAGCACAACGATTCCTCCAAGTACAACCATTGCTCCAAGCACAACGATTCCTCCACGTACAACGACTGCTCCGAGCACAACGCTTCCTTCAACACCAATGACTACTCTGCCCGGAGGCTGTTCTGGAAGAATAGGCAAAGACGTACTTTTTGTTGTAGACGGCACGGCGAACTCCCAACAGGCCTACGATCTAGCTCAGGAAGATTTCAACAAAATTAAAGAATTTATCTTGTCCATAATCCGTGACCTGAATCATCAGTTTAGGGTTGGAGTCATGCAGTACACTGGTAAGGACTCTGCTAAAATGGAAATCGATTTCATGAGTCCCCTGAAATTTCAGGAAATTACAATCATGCAGAAAAGGGGTTATGAAAGATATACTGGCGATGCTTTGAAGGAAGCTAATAATAAGGTAGATATTTATTTAAGATAAAACACGCTCTGAATATTAATATCTTTTAGTAAAAATATAAAGATTGAAAATGACTGTTTGGTTGGTCAGTGCGCCAGACTAAGAAATTACCAATTTTAAAGAAAATGTAATTCCAAGAAGTACATGCAATGCCAATGGATGAAAAAATTGGTCTAAAGCTATTTTTAGTATAAAGTGAACTTTGTTTTGTCTAAAAATACTATTATAACTGTCGAAACATGCAAAACTATCTATTCTATTACACTAGCATAACAGGGACAAATATAATATTTTATTTGCAGTCTCGATCTACGATTTAAATTTTTAAACCTGTGTATTCATATACTATATAAAACAATTATTTACCTGAGGCGAGTAATTGTTTATATTTGTTGGCAAAAATATAGAATTCGTAGATGTGCTTAATTAAATTTTCTGATGCTGACCACCACCTGGTTAATTAAGCTTATCAATACTCTTGTCCTTAAGAATAAATTTGTGGCAAGATGTGTCTGTCGATCGATTCTGGTGGATTCAAGCTTTAATACGATAAGCTGATAACTCTTTCTCTCTTTTTCAGTTCTACATGCACGATCATCTCCAAAACCGCGAGAACAACCCCGACGTAATCGTTCTGATCACACGAGGCACGCCAAACGACCTAGACGTCGCTAAAAGCGAAGCAAAAGGTTTGTTATCGCGACGTATTAAACTGATACCAGTGGGTGTTCATTCAGGAGCATCCGCCCCATATCTTGCAGCTTTCTTGGGTGTCATGAATAAGTGTACGTTCTTGTCAAAATACAAGGATCTCGAGAAAAATCGAAAAGCAGTTCTTGATGAGATACGTGTATGCAATGGTCCGCGGATATGTGGAGGACGTAAGTATCCCTAAGAATTATTTTAATAGGGATGAAGACGAATATTTATCATGAAATTATTTCTGCCAACTCGAGTCGTATACACCGAGCCGACAACGTTTGGACGAGACTGAGCGAAATAACTGCACGCTAACAGGGGCGGCGCTATACCTCTTTGAAGGGCGGGGGCGTGAAGTGAATTTTGCCGAGTTATCAAAAGAAATTTTACCGAGTTACTTCAACCTGGCCGGGGAGGGGTTCCAGACATGATATTTGGCATCTTATTTTGTGTTTAACTACCGTTGTTCGTTTCATTTTTCCATAATTTAAAAATTTCTCCACACTTTAGCTACCATTCTTAAGTTTTAATCAGTGTACTTTAATTTGGGTCTCTTTAAAGAACGGAAACCGAAACGACCGAAACCGAAAGGCGAAACGACCGAATCCGGAAACGACCGAAACCGGAAATTCCCGCCTAATTTCCCGCATAAAATTGCCTCAGCATGCGAGCATGCTCACCGGGAGAAAGGTGAGTCTGCACGGAACCATGCTTTCGCATCTGCTAAACGCGAACCAAATCAGCGTCGACTGGGATAATAAACAAAAATGTACAAATTTCTACTTTTAATTAAACAATCTGACCAATGTAAATTTATTTATAGTAAAGAAACGGATCCATAATAAATTAGGAACTAACTTATTCAATATTTGGTTCCATGTTTGTCTGAAATCTCTTGTAATGTAGAACTGAAAGAGTACATAAGTTATTTTTTTACAGAAAACAGGATCTAAATTCTACTTCCTAACGAAAACATTTCTTTTTAACTACCATAGCAACGCCACCTCCAGTTTGCAGCGGAAGCCGGCATGATATTTTCTTTGTCGTGGACGGATCCGCCAGCATCAAGAGTCATAACTTTGATAAAGTTAAAAATTTCCTGTCTCTCCTCATCCCTCAACTAACAGTAGAATCTTCAGCTACAAATACTGGACTTATGCAATTCAGCAAGGAAGATCTGACGACGGTGGAATGGGACCTGGGGCGATATTCTGAGATTGAAACCAAAAATAATGCACTTAACCTGGAGTATCAAGCAGGAACGCGGACTGAGGCTGGCGATGCATTAACTCGTGTCATTAATGAGGTAGGTCTCAAATGGAGGGCATAATAAAACGGCTTGTTATTTGATTCACCAAATCCGTGCAGAAATTGCTACCACATTTGGGCCGAAAATGGTAGCAATTTCCGCACGCAATACAAAAGTATACAAAATTTGCAAATTTTGCAAGGCTACATTTTCCGCATTTTACAACATTTCGTAACCAAACTGTGCAATTTTACTCATTTTAGTATGATTTATTTGCATCTCCTTGTCTAGTTTAAAATTAGTCTATATAAATAATATAATGGAAATTGTCTAATGGCCGTTTGGCGAGGATACTGTAGCCGGATGGCATTTAATTTCAATTCCACTTTTGCTTCAATTTCCATCCCCTGCACTTTATTAATCTGGTGTATGGATCTTTCTCTATCCCAGGTCTTCACCGGAACAAATGGCGACCGTCCAGACGTCAATGACACCTTGATTCTCTTTACGGATGGGGATGCACATGATCTGAGCACGGCCCTCGAACAGGCTGAAATCCTGAAGAAAAAAGGTGTTCGCATTATCACAATTGCGGCTGGCAAGGAAGAATCGGTGCAATTATTCCAACCAATATTGATTAAGATGGCTTCTTCACCTGAATATGTGATGAAAGTCAACTTTGAAAATCTGGATTCCTTTGACTTTGTCGAGAAGGCCAGCAACGCTGTTTGCCCAAAGGCAAAGAAGCCAGAAATAGAAAATATAGACAAATGACAAAAATACGAGGACAAATAGTCATTTCTTTGTGATATTTATACAGCGCCTTTCATACTTATTTACGATTAAGATATTTAGTTAAGTTCTCTAAATTAAAAATAAACTCATGTTAATAAATTGCTTATATATTAAGAGCATATTAATTACTACAGTGTAGTAGTTTCAAAATATATAATAGGCTTTAGGAAAAATACATAATTATTCACATATAATATTATGCGTTTTGTTGCCTTCTATATATGATTTGATAAGTTAGTATTTGAACAAGGGAACATGTTAGAATGAGATTTGTTTTATTTTCCTCGAAAAAAAAAAAAATGGTTTGGTACCTTGTTCTTTCAAAATACTGACGGTTGTCCGAGTAGTCTCCAAAGAGTGCTCGGACAACCGTCGGTATTATGAAAGAATAGGCACCCAAACCATTTCTTTATTTATTTTTTTCGAGGAAAATAAAACAAATCTCATTCTAACGTGTTCCCTTGATTTGAAGATTGAATATTTCGATCACGGTTGAAGATTTACCATTGTTTATACTTAAGTCAGAATCGCTCTTACATCGCCCATAATAATTTCATGTATAGGTGCATGGATCCCATTTGCCACCATGTTGACATTTGCCACCATGTTGAATCAGTTTAAAGGATTAGTGTAACACCATGATATTGCGGGCTCCAATTCCTGCTGGCAGCCAAAAAATTCTTAAAATGTATAAAAGGTGCGATTTAAACTTATTTCATTTCAGATTATTAAGATAAATAATTTACGGGCAAAAACCAGTTAAGTTTAATGAACATTTATATTATATTGAAGCTTATTATATAGAAAACATCATAACATACCTATACATTATATATTTCTGAAAGTTACTGGTAGTTCTATAATTGAAAGTAAAGTACTGATGTTTTAAATATTTGTGGTTATCAGCACAGAAATATTTTCTGTTATAATATTACACTGGACACTGGCCGTATATGGCTTCAGATTCCCTAATTTTATGTGCGAAAATTCTTCGTTTTTTTCGACAACGTGAAATCAACCTACGTTCATGAAGGTTTACCGCTGACCCGCAATGGATCGCGCGCGGGCTCAAGTCAAAATGGCCGTCAGGTAAAGAATGGACCGACTGTGCAATCGGTTTTTTTGTCTTGTTTTTTTCTATACTATTGATATAGTGCTGTTCTTTGAATTTTGAAACTTAGCATACTCAAATGTTTCTGGTATATTACCTGCGTATTAGTCGAACCCTATAGCCTGTCTACGGACGTTTTAAAATCCTTAAACGTTTGTGACTTGGGGCCTTCGGTTTGTTCACTATATATTGTTTGTTTATCCATCTTTGGCCTGGCATAAATATACGTGTAAATGCTATTCAAACTGTTCTACCATTACACACCAGCACGCACATTATAACTTTATAAGGTCAGTGCATGTGAACGCCTGAGCAGGCGTCTTGTTAAATAAAGAATGAGCAAATTGCTTTTCGGAATATTTGATTGTTCATATATATATATATATATATATATATATATATATATATATATATTGCACGTATTAGTTGGATAAGTCAGGGGTTTTTTCAGGGATTTTTTAGGGCCGTAAAACGGCCCCAAAAACTCAATCTTGAATTGAGTTTTGAAACTCAATCTTCTCACCAAAGTTTCAGTGCAATAAAAATGAAGTGTATGAGTTAAATTCGTGACGTGCATGGAAATTAGTTTTCAGTTGGAAACCCGACAATCAAGAAAAAATGGCTGGAATTCATCTCACAACACAAGAAAAACTAACCAACTTATTCATGCACTTATTATGTATATATAAGACTCTAGTTTGTCTGTTTTGTTTTAGTCCTTTTGCCCTGATGATGAACGTTTAGTTCGAAAGCTTAAGCTGTAATATTTCAAAAAATATTTTTAGGTAGCGGAACAGACCTGTATTTTATGATGAATTCTCCAAACTACAAAACCATCATAGATCTTGATTCAAAATGTTGAAAAATAAACAAGAAATAAAAAAATAAAAATCTTTCTTTATTACTTTATTATGCTCTGGTCACCCATTGAGCACATATATAAATATTTTACTGTACAACATCATTACGAAGCCAGTGTGGGAGAGGTTGACGTATCTTGTGTAGTAACTCAGCAAGTTGTCTGTTAGGTTCCCTATAATAATCTTTCAAATATTCTTCTGCTTTTCTTTGCATTGGAGGATATTTCCGACCTTTAGAACTGCCCAAGCAGGAATGGCCGTTGTACATACGACTTGTGAGGCAGAAGAAGCCCTTACGTTCATTGTACCTGGAAAAGAATGAATATGAAAGATGTCAGGCAAGTATAATAGATGATTTTGTGTGTGCATGCTAATTAATGCAAATAGATGGTTTTGCGTTTATCTTAATTTTCTTATTTACTTTCATGTACTCCCACATTAGTAAGTAATGATTTACAGTACGAGACTGGACGAACTGGACAAAATTTACAAGTAACGTTGCATAAGGGGGAGGGCAGCAAGCCAGCAAGACCTATAGCAGTGGCGTGCTGGCAGGGGGGGGGGGCACGGCCCCCCCCCCAGCTGGCAATTTTTGAGGGGCGCAAAAATGGAAAGGGGGCGCCGATCCCGCGCCGAATTTTGAATATAGGTGGGAAGAAACGCATTCGAAGAAATATAGTTACTAATTCCGCCAAGGAAAGATGTGTTTATACACTTATAAACAGACTAAGCGCATAGGCGACAAAGTGAGTGAGTATATTAAATTGCAGACTATTTTGTCTATAACCGTATTTGCTACCTTACGACTCACACGAAATCACTCGTTCATATAGAAACATGATCAGTGATCACACGCAATGTCTCATTACCGGAATATTGATCAGGCTTCGAAGCGATCACGGAAATCATGCATATGCGTGGGGTCCGTGTGTTATTATATAAAAGAGCTGTAAGTTGTAAATCAATTCAGATCAGTAGAGAATAAAATTGGGATTAGATTAATTGCTGGAAGTAGTTAGCGTTGCCCAATTTAAGTGCTACTACTAAATTCTAACCAATTTTCAAATTTCGACACGTTGTAATGCCGTTCCCTGACCATCAGATTTCTGTCAAATCTTCCCCCAAAGTTCAGGAAATGGCATTTCAGGGACCCCCTAGACAAACCTCGCACCTGTGGCGCTCGGCTCGTGCCTTCGGCCCTCGTTTATCAAGGGTAATATTATAGGGGCGCATATTAGTTGCCAGCCGACTGGCCCCCCCCAGAAATATAGTACCCAGCACGCCACTGACCTATAGGTTAGATTAAGTACCCAAATACCCAAGGAATGGGGGAGGGTTACGGCCCTGCATGGCTGTTAGCTCCAGTCTTCCACTTTGTCTCGGACTGGAAAAAATGCTTAGACTTGAAATCTGGTCCAGTTCTCATTTTCGGATTTGAAATACACATTAAAAATTGACATTCACAATAAAAAATCCGGAAACAGAGTTTTTGGACTTCTAACAAGTCATGCCGTATGTCTTTAATCTGCCTTGACCAAAACAGCTATTTACATTTGACTCACTGAGTAACTTGCACGTTATCCAAAGTTGTAAATTAGGAAAAAAAAGCGTTAAGCCCGTTTTCCACGAGGCACAATTTCCAAACAAAGCCAAAAAGAAAATGAATTAAGTCAGCCATCAGATTGGTTAGCGACCAATCAGTCACGCTATTGTCATTTTAGTCGGTGTCAATTCGCCTACAGCCATTTTCTTGACAAAGGGGGGCATGTATAAATTCAATAGATCTTATAATCTTTAATTTGGAATGAGAAGAATAAAGATAAGAACTCACTTTAGAAGAGTTCCGTAATCGATTTTTTTCGTTACTCCAATAAATGTCTGAACCTGAGACATCACTTGTACAGGATCTGACTCCAGTTGTTCTCCGTCAATGGTCAATATCTATGTGAAGTTAAAATGGCCATTGCAAGTATTTCGAACGAAATATAAAATAACTATACATCAATATACAAGCATGCAGGGTGTATCTTTTTGGTCTAATTAAGCAATAAAATACCGTAAACCTCCAACTATAAGCCCTGGGCTTATATACTTTCGTAAGCGATTTTTGATGGGCTTATACAAGGGAGGGGGCTTATATATGGGGGGAGGGCTAATACATGGATGATTTTTTGTGTTAGTAATAAACAGGTTAGACACAAACAAGTTAGTCATAAACAGGAAAATAAACATGTACTATTTAACAATAACGCGCTTTGATTCACATAGTCGGCTATAGAGACAATGACAATGCTTTTAAATATCCTTCTCTGCTATATTAAAAGACAATGTCAATGTTGAATAACGTAGTGGGCTACTGGGCTTATATTCGAGGGACTT